CGGCATGCGCGGACCTCTAAGATAGGCTTGTAAACCCAAGTTAACAAAAAATGGACATAAGCTAGTTCTGCATTCAGTAAGCGATATATATATATATAGAGCCAAACTATGCCAAGTCCAAAAACTTGATTTTGCAGGAGATGCATTTAAAGTTTTAAAAATGATGTTAAAGGCAATATATACTCTATTAATTAAGGAATTTTAATGAATTTACTGTAAAGGTATTGTTTAATAGTGCACTCTTTAAGGAACTATAGCTTTCGAAAATTGAAAATTGATTTTTCGCAAAAATGGGCTTGGCATGTTTTTGCATTACAAAAAAGGTATTATGCGGACTTGGCTTATTCCAAGTCCAAGAAAGAAATATTATAACTGGACTTGGAATATTTTAAAATATTAATAATGTAATATTATTTCCATTGATAATAAGAGAATAATTGAGTTAATTCAAGTCGCTTATTTTTCCACTTTAAAAACAACAAAAAACTTAAAACAGTTTCTGAACAGTATTTTTAATACACGTGTATCAACAATAAAAATAGAATAATGGTGTGTATTTAATAACAAAATGAAACAGCATTAGGACATTAGGAACAATAAGGCATATAACTTAATTCTATTTTTAATATACACTTAAGTACGTTAACAAAATAATAATTTAGTAGCTACAACAGGTACCCAATCGCATTATTTCAAAACATCTTTGGCAACTTTATAAAAAAAAAGTTATATGAGGTACATAAAATTAGCCTACTATAATCTTTATTAACTTGTCCACCATGTTGCAAATTTTTATAAAATTCATGGAATCTTGTAGGTACCCACTGAAGCAGTTTCTGGAGGTGAGTGTATTTTTTTGTCGATATTGGCTTAGGCCCATCTCTTATCGCTAAAATGCCTACTGGAATGTTTTTTGTGCGTCTAGTTTTCCTGTTAACATCAACCCCCAAGAAATTTCCTTCATCAAAATTCGTTTTGTAAAACAGTATACCAGGGCTATCTTGTCGAACTTGTAAGTGGACTGAATTTGAAATTAGAAAATCCGTTCCATTTTCGCTTTTCTTATTTGCCACATAAGGTGCTGCCATTCCCTCGTACAGTTCTTTAAAATTTCTAAAATCAGTAACTTCCATGTTAACCACGTTTAACTTCTTTTTTAAACCGCACAAGCGAATCATCTGCTGCCAATCCCAGGGAGTCATAATTTGAAACTGGGGTATTTTTTTTCTTTCCCTCTCAATCAGTGCATGGGCTCCATCCGCTTCCAGATGGGTGCCTCTTGCCAGATATTTGTGATTAATTGTTTTAATATTGGGTTTAAAACGTAGTATCCAAAAGTAGCTCATAATCATAACTACGTTACGATTCTGACTAGGACAATTGTCAGATCATATTGTGAGTTCTTGGGTTTGATCAGTAATATTTTCGACGGCCCATTTAGTTAGACAAGAAGCAACCTCATTGCCACCCCTCCCGGATACACTTTCATCCCAAATTAGACAAAATGAATTTTGAGCCGTTGTATTGTTTTTGTCGTCAAAAGGGCAAAAAATGATCTTGTTTTTAAATTTTGCTAAAACAAAGCCCCAATTTTTGTTGTTCGATTCTTTTCCTTGTCCTCGTTGTTAAAGAGTAAATACAAACACATAAATTGTTGTTTCAACATAAAACAAATACTATACTGTATTTCACTTATTTCACAGTGCCAGAGATAATGTGCAACATGCCTGCTCCAGTTGAACACAAATGTATCAAATGTGGAGGATAAACGGAACTACCGAATCCAAAATGTATTCCATGTGAAAGTAAAGACTTTTTTACTAATGTCACATATTTCGAGCACCTATTTCGAAAAGAGGTGAATTTAAGTAATGCTAATAGCGAAGACAAGAAATATTATTATATTATAGGATTGAATTTGTACATATTAATATTTAATAAAGGAGTTCATAAAGCTTTAAGTGATTTATTTCCATTAAATTTCTATCTATTCCACCATATCGTAATAAAAAATATAATTGTTACACAGAAACAAGCCTCATAACTGCTGATATTGCCCGGAATATAAATAAAGCAACAACAAAAAATGAGCTCAAAATAGTAATAATAATAAAGATTTACATACAGATTGGAATATAATTTCAATGTGTGTGTGTGTGTGTATGTGTTGATTTTAATTTTTATTTTTGTATTGTACAAACTTTAATTTTAGTTGGACGCCTTTATTTTAATTTTTCTGTATATGTGAATTTGTTTTTTTTTGTGGGTATGTTTTCTTAGTGTAGATTATATTTTTAATTAAGCTGTAAATTGTTCCATACAAACCTCTACTATCTTTTATGTGTTACCTTGTACTTTCTTATCCCTGGCCAGCTGTTGATACACTTGTTACATATCAGACAATATCAGAAAACCTCAGGACTCGGTTCTATATTTACCCAGAAACTAGTACAATGCAATACACTTTGGAATGAATAGAGATTTTGAAATTCAATAAAATGTTTATTCAAAAATTTGTTATAAAATATGACTTTATACTTTTTAAACTCAAATTAGGAATACCTTTTTATATGTAATATGTTTTCCACAACAAAGAATATTTTAATAACAAAATTTGCCTTTTTTCGGCTCAGCTTACAAACTATAAGGAATAATTATAAAAAAAATTATGGGATAGGATATGTTTTTGATTTAAAATTATCTATATTTCTTACCGCTAATTTATGAACAAAGCTTTCCGCCACTCTCATTTCATTCGACACTAAACCTTCATAATTCCTAAACATTTCTCTTACTTCCCTCTCATAATTATCATCAACATTTAATTTTATTTCATCTATATTAAATACTCTTCATCATAATAATAATCATAACCTTCCTCACATAAATTCACCTCTTGAACACTCATTACTTTATCATCCTCACATTTTAAGCTTTCATCTATGTTCATAATTTTCTATTTATTATCTTTAAAATCTATCCATATCTCATTTATACATAACTTTCTTAATTTGTAATCTATTTTAGCTTTATGTTTTTTCAGACAATAACCATAGTCATGTCTGGAACTACTAAAAGTTGAAACATTAATTTACTTTTATCAAATTCAAGTGTGATATTTAACAATTTGTTCGCATCGTACATTTCAGTTTCGTTTTGTTAGGACCTGTTAAGACCACCTTATTTACCTTAATAATAATATGTTGTTCTAAGATTGGAAACTTTTCTAATATATTTTGGTTTATTAGTGACGCTTCTGATCCTGAATCAAGTAATACCTCTAAGTTTTTATTTTGAACTTTTGAATTAACATATTTGAATTTATAGGCTGCCTATCAAGTAACATGGATCTGCGAGTTTCAAACCTGTCATCATCGTTTGGTCGCCTGCCCAATCGTTTCTTAGCTTGTGCTTCTCATACGTNAAAAACTTTTTTTTCTAGCTCTTACCCTTTTTGAGTTATCTTGAAAAAGCCCTTTGTTTTATCTTTTTCCACCCTTGGCCGGGGGTTGAACAAAAAATTACTCTCACTTATTGTTATAATATACCTTAAATTAACTCATATCAAAAATTCAGCCAAGTTGACAAAATTTCGATTTAAAGGCTTAGTTAATTGGACTAAAACTTTAATATGCCTGTACTCAATAAAGAATTTTAGTTGGGCGCCTTTGTTTTAATTTTTCTTTGTGTATGTGAATTTGTTTTTCTTGTGGGTATGTTTTATTAGTGTAGATTATATTTTTAATTAAGCTGTAAATTGTTCCATACAAACCTCTACTATATTTTATGTGTTACCTTGTACTTTCTTATCCCTGGCCAGCTGTTGGTAGACACTTGTTACATAACAGACAATATCAGAAAACCTCAGGACTCGGTTCTATATTTACCCAGAAACTAGTACAATTCAATACACGGAATGAATAGAGATTTTGAAATTCAATAAAATGTTTATTCAAAAATTTGTTATAAAATATAACTATACTTGAAAACTTTTTAAACTCAAATTAGGAATACCTTTTTATATGTAATATGTTTTCCACAACAAAGAATATTTTAATAACAAAATTTGCCTTTTTTTGGCTCAGCTTACAAACTATAAGGAATAATTATAAAAAAAATTATGGGATAGGATATGTTTTTGATTTAAAATTATCTATATTTCTTACCGCTAATTTATGAACAAAGCTTTCCGCCACTCTCATTTCATTCGACACTAAACCTTCATAATTCCTAAACATTTCTCTTACTTCCCTCTCATAATTATCATCAACATTTAATTTTATTTCATCTATATTAAATACTCTTCATCATAATAATAATCATAACCTTCCTCACATAAATTCACCTCTTTAACACTCATTACTTTATCATCCTCACATTTTAAGCTTTCATCTATGTTCATAATTTTCTATTTATTATCTTTAAAATCTATCCATATCTCATTTATACATAACTTTCTTAATTTGTAATCTATTTTAGCTTTATGTTTTTTCAGACAATAACCATAGTCATGTCTGGAACTACTAAAAGTTGAAACATTAATTTACTTTTATCAAATTCAAGTGTGATATTTAACAATATGTTCGCATCGTACATTTCAGTTTCGTTTTGTTAGGACCTGTTAAGACCACCTTATTTACCTTAATAATAATATGTTGTTCTAAGATTGGAAACTTTTCTAATATATTTTGGTTTATCAGTGACGCTTCTGATCCAGAATCAAGTAATACCTCTAAGTTTTTATTTTGAAATTTTGAATTAACATAAATTAAAATATCATTTTGATTAATTACTACATTTTCGTCTAGTTTAATACATTCTCTAGGATGGGAATATTTACTGTGATAAATTTTGAGTGTTTGACTTGCTACTTATTGAAAATTTTGTTGATCTTGTGAATTTGAATTTATAGGCTGCCTATCAAGTAAAATGGATCTGCGAGTTTCAAACCTGTCATCATCGTTTGGTCTACTGTCCAATCGTTTCTTAGCTTGCGCTTCTCATACGTTTTCCCTCACTCTCTGCACCTCCTTCTTGAGTTCCTCAATCTGTTCCTCATTTCTTTTTCTTTCTCCTTCCAGCACATCTTGATTTTCATTCAATCCTCCCTGTACCTGCCTTTTTACCTTTTCAATTTCTTGAGTATTTTTGTTCACAGTTCTTTCGATCTTCTCCATTTCATTTTCTTGCTTGTTTACTCTGTCTTCTATTTCAATCGTCTTCGTCACTAGTGTTGCTACGTCCTGTTCTATTTTGTCCACGTCCTTGTTTATGTCCTTCCAAGATTTGAAATCTTTTCTGATTTTTTCTCTTATAACTTGTATTTTTACGTCCAGTAGTTTCGCCATATTCTCCATATCTTCTTTACGTCCTTTCTCCAATTTTTCTGCATCTTTTCTGTTATTTTCCATCTGTTTTAACTCTTCCCCAATTTTCTCTAAGTCCTCTTTTCGTCCTTTCTCGAGTTTTTCTAAATCTTCGTTTCGTCCTTTATCTAGCTTGTCCAAGTCTTCTTTTCGTCCTTTTTCTAGCTGAATATTTAAAATTCGTTACAATATATTCACTGAAATAATTTATCTCAATATCAACTATGCAACTAAATATGCAACAGCTAAATTGATAAAAATAAGTTGTCAATAGATTACTATTTTCGTACTTCATAAGATAAGGAAAAAAAACACTCGATTAAAGATTTATAAAGTAAATTTTCAATTTTCCTACTATCAATGGATGGCGGCCATCTTGTGACATTGAACTACAGTGCTGTCTGCTGTCAGCGGTTCAGGAACTTAGAAACTTTTTCATTTTAGAGGTGGAATACAATCACTAACCAACCGTTGTGGCGGGCGAAAAATTTTTTTTCAGAAAGTTCTAGGTACTGGAATGTCGCCCACGAAGCAAATGTACTAATACAAACTTGCAAGGTTTTTGAAAGGGTTTACGTCATACCTACTGTTTGCCTTGAAATTGAAAGAAAATCTGCAATTTTAAAGGGTACTTACAGATATAGCTAGCATGTCAAGTATGTAGAGTGGTAGTAAGTCGTAAACAGGTCCCTAATGAAATAATAATAAAATACCTGTACATATCGTGGCGTAGCTACGCATTAACGTTTATAAAAGGACTGGGAAGGTAAAGTAATGACGCTCCGCTACCCTACAGACGTCTTTCTCGTTTGGCGTGAAATTATTTTGATATAATTAATCTGACGTTTACAAATTTGCCCCTGAACGACGGACGAACGACTGGGCACTTCGTGCCCTATCGCACGCCGCTCCGCGGCTTGCGGAAAAGAATTTTACGGGGCAAAATACGCGTTTCCGAGTCTCACGAGAGTACAGTTTAACCTATTTACAGCCGCATTTCAAATCCTGCATTTGATTTCGCGGAAAGTTCTACAGGAAAAGTGTGAAATAGGCACCCAGTCGATAAATGAGTATTTTCGGCACAGTTTTAAATAAATAATGTAGAAAATAGGTGAAATAAAATACAAAAGCCGTACCCGCGTGCAATTAGAGGCGATCGTCAGATTTCATCGGTAAGGCGTGTCGAACTCGTTCCGTCTGCGTTCCTCACGAAAAATAGGCCGCGCCCCTCGAGGAGCCCCTAGAAAACGGAAATTTCACCGGGAATGCGCCGAGGAATCGGCTAATAAATACGACGTTAGGGCGCTGAGTATCATCGTCGCTGCTGTTATAAATTATTGTAATATAAAATCTAAAAAACTTGAANTTCCATTCAATCCTCCCTGTACCTGCCTTTTTACCTTTTCAATTTCTTGAGTATTTTTGTTCTCAGTTCTTTCGATCTTCTCCATTTCATTTTCTTGCTTGTTTACTCTATCTTCTATTTCAATCGTCTTTGTCACTAGTGTTGCTACGTCCTGTTCTATGTTGTCCACGTCCTTGTTTATGTCTTTCCAAGATTTGATTTCTTCTCTTATACCTTGTATTTTTACGTCCAGTAGTTTCGCCATATTCTCCATATCTTCTTTACGTCCTTTCTCCAATTTTTCTGCATCTTCTTTTCTGTTACTTTCCATCTGTTTTAACTCTAATTTTCTCTAAGTCCTCCTTTCGTCCTTTCTCGAGTTTTTCTAAATCTTCGTTTCGTCCTTTTTCTAGCTTGTCCAAGTCTTCTTTTCGTCCTTTTTCTAGCTGAACTTTTAAAATTCGTTACAATATATTCACTGAAATAATTTATCTCAATATCAAGTACTCAAAAAAATTAAGTATGCAACAGCTAAGTTAATAAAAATAAGTTGTCAATAGATTATTATTTTCGTACTTCATAAGATAAGGAAAAAAAAACACTCGATTAAAGATTTATAAAGTGAATTGCACAGTATCTATATACCATTAATTACATGTAACAATGTTAAAGGACCTACATACATAACCTTACGAACACAAAAAAAAGGTAAATGTTTTTTTTTATATACATTCACATTTCACTCACAATGGGGACCTTCGATCATTGGTAACAGAGGTTCATCAACATCCAAGGGAAAGAAATAATATAATACAATTCAGTGGCAATGAGGACTTTTGTTAACTGGCAAGAAAGATTACAAGTAGTCGGAGGAAATTAAATATCAGTCACATTTCACTCGCAGTGTGCACCTTCGTCCCTTTCCGATTTATGAAATGGTCAGAAAACGCCATGAAAACGTTACAAATTTGCCCCTGAACGACGAAGGACGAACGACTGGGCACTTTGTGCCCAATCGCACGGGGAAAAGAATTTTGTGGGGCAAAATACACGTTTTCGAGCCTCGCGAGAGAGTGCGTTTTAACGTATTTACACCCGCATTTCAAATCCTTCATTTGATGTCGCGGAAAGTTCTACAGGAAAAGTGTGAAATAGGTACCCAATCGATAAATATGAGTATTTTCGGCACAGTTTTAAATAAATAACGTAGAAAATAGGCGAAATAAAATATAAAAGCCGCACCCGCGCGCAATTCGAGGCGATCGTCAGATTTCATCGAAAAATAGGCCGCGCTCCTCGAGGAGCCCCTGAAAAACGGAAATTTCACCGAGAAGGCGCTGAGGAATCGCCTTCTAAATACGACGTTAGGACGCTGGAAGGACGTTGGGGCGCTTCGCTCACAGTGCACTTTATTCTGAATCGCAATCTGATAATTTGTCCTGAGTATCATCGTCGCTGCTGTTATAAATTATTGTAATATAAAGACTAAAAAACTTGAATATGATTATATAAAATTTTAATATTTTACCTTCAGATTTTTCGTTGTTTAATATAACTTCTTTCACGGATGATGGCAATTGTGGTTCATCAAACCATTGTGTATTCGTTGTTTTGTTGTATCCAGCCACAATGCTCAGCTTCCAAATCAGTTGGATCTTTCTTTTAGGCATGACTCCAAACATTTGCGATGTATTTGACTCTTAAAAATTGTTGACGTAGTTCCGTTTCACACGGAGGCAAACTCGAAGCATACAAATTCTTTAATTTCTTATGAAACGTCTCGTTGACATTTTTAATTTTATAATTCTTCATAAATAATTAATTCAAATCGTGCAGTGTTTACAGAAATGTTGACATTTCTCCTTTTGATTCCATTCATACTGCTCCCGTAATTTTGCAGGATTTCGAAGGTGCTTTTTCATCACACGATGGACAGCTTACAGCTGCAAACGCTTTGATATATTTCTCTGATTAGTATAACATTTTAAAAGTCCGTTGCTTTCCTTTGCGAAAGAAAGCGGGGTTAAAATCGCATTCAGTGGATACATAAAATGAGTCTGGTAAGCGACTGTGGACGATGATCCATGACCTCCTCTTCTTTATTTTCCTGGGGATAAGTGGAGTGGGTGCTGGTGGAGGTAAGAAGGTCGTGGGCTGGTTCTTACTCTTTGGTGCAGTTGGTAGATGTGGGAACGCATGAAGACGTCGTCAAATGAGCAGTGGTCGGACGAGTAGAAGCAGTACCTGATTCTGCTTAGCTTAGCTTATCATAGCATATTAGCTATGTCCTGTACAAATTTAGTTTCGTGCAATTCTCGGTTTCAAAAAATAATACCTATGAATGTTTTCAACCATGAAAATTGAATAATTCCAAATATGTCGAATTTTCACCCCCAAGAACGACGGTGACAACATTTTTAACATTGAAGCGATGTTTCGCATTATATTAGCTATGTGCTATCCATATTTGGTTAGTGCATCTCTTTCGGTTAAACATCCACAATCCCTCATTGTCTTGATTTTTGTTTAAAATAAGGATACATAAGAGAACGTTTCAATGGTGTGATAAATTGTGAACTAAAGTACAAACTCGAATATTTTATATTTACACTATTCGAAGATTTTATAAAACTGTAGACATAAGTAAGAAATGTAATAATACACATTTCCGTTAGCAGGTTAGTGCATTAAAATATCAGGTCATCGAAATCGAACAACCGATAAACGAGTGTAATGACACAATAGGACCTATTCTGTAATAAAATAGTTAAATTTTGACGGAAGTTAAAAATTTGAAGGCCATTAACACTACGTTTGCATTCTATATAAAAGAAATGGTTGATTTTAACGGAAGTTAAATATAAAGAATAAAATCGTATTCTATATGACTTTTACACGCAAAAATTTTACTATGTCCGTTAATTTTGGTCCGTTAAAAGGTTAATATTAATAGTTCCTAATCTAGTACCCTTAAAATATTTTTGTATAACTATAGTCAAGTAAAANAGTGTTTACAGAAATGTTGACATTTCTGCTTTTGATCCCATACATATTGCTCACGTAACTTTGCAGGATTTCGAAGGTGCTTTTTTCATCACATGATGGACCGCTTACAGCTGCAAACGGTTTGATATATTTCTCTGATTAGTATAACATTTTAAAAGGCCGTTGCTTTCCTTTGCGAAAGAATGCGGGGTTAAAATCGCATTCAGTGAATGCATGAAATGCGTCTGGTAAGCGACTGCGTAGGATCCATGACCTCCTCTTCTTTGTTTTCCTGGGGATGAATAGAGTGTGGGCGCGTTCCTGCTCTTTGGTGCAGCTGGTAGATGTGAGAACGCATGAAGACGTCGTCGAATGAGTAGTGATCGTACAAGTAGAAGCGGCACTTGATTCTGCTTCTGACCCGAGTTGAATTAGTGTGGGTTGATTCTTAGTTGCGTCGATTTTTTAACTTCGTGATATAGTCCTAAAATATTTGTAGATATTATCTCATAGAGATGTTGGGCAACGTGAGCATCTAGTGGATATATATTGTGATGCTCCAATTAAGATAACTAGTTTTTGTTTTTATGTTTGTGTATTTCTATGTATTATGTAGTGTTGAGCGCTAGTTAATTTAGAAAATATAATTTATTACTTACCAGGCTAGCTTTCTTATTTGATATCACTCAATTTGATTTTGTTTTTAATATAAATTGTAATTTAAATATTATTTGTTTTTTTTTATAAAGTATTCTGGATTTTAAAATGAGATTCTATTTTACTTTTGATTATTTGAATGACAACTAGATTATCTCTGTCAATTTTGCATAAACAATAGATAGAAAATTTAGTAGAACATGAGTTCTTATCTCAGTAGTCGGTTCATAAAATAATTTTTACTTGTAATTGAATTTAAAAAAATTAAATAATATTTTTGTAATCTGGGTTCAAATTTTATATCGATATAACAAATGATAAACAAATTAATAGCAATTTATAGTCCCTATTTACCCTGCGCTAACTTATATCTACTCTACAAACATTCACTTATTATCTATACATACATCTCTACTATCCGTTTTTTCTTTTACTGTCAACGACTTCTTACGTAGAAACTTTCCTTCTGCTACGTATCTCCTGTCCTCTTCCTTCTATTCGTCCACTCACTTTATCCTTGTGGTCAGTTAGTTCCTTTCTCGGTCTCTTGTCTCGCTCTGCTGTCTGTGATTTCTCGACTCGCCTTACTAGCTCCTACTCCTTGTCTCCTTTATTCTTAGCTAAGACAATTCAAATACTTTTTACTAATATGACTTAATAGATAGTAATGCTTTAGTCATCTGCCAATTCTCCTTGTTCTTTCTTCTAACACAATTTTTCCTCAAGAAAATGTTCGTTCTTGTTCTCGGTGAGTGATTTTCACTTTTCCTTTCGTATTCTATAATTGATTTAGCTTTTTCTGATACAATCTGCTTTTTCTCTTATGATAATTAATCTCCTCTCTCCTGGCTTCTTTATTACTATTAATTATATTTTTTTTTCCGTCTCCTTGAGTACCACTGCACTGCACTCTTATTTTTAAATACAAAATTTTTCTTTAATTTAACCAATCAGATTACTTTTAATTTTACATTTCCACATTAACTTTTGCAATATTATTTAATTCCTATTTTGCTATATAGTACTCTTATTTTATAACCACTTTTATTAATTTAGATTGATATTTCATTAAAATTCATATTTTACTTTTAAATTGTCATTATGCAAGTACTTGTCATCAAATTTCAAATCTGTTACTTACACTGTCATTCTTTGACATTAATCTCTTTTCATCCCAATACTGAAATTTTAACTTTTGAACTTTTGATTCATCTCAACATATACATATGTGTGGCACTAATAAGATAAGTGATATGTGGACTGTATTATGATTTATTTACTGATTGAACATTACAAACATTCATGCTCACATGAGCGTTGCTATATCTAAAGTAAAACTTAACTTGGTGTCTCCTTTTCGCTCGACGTATACCGCCCTCTATCCGCCCGCCGATCAACCGCACCGTAGGGCACGTTCCCTTTTGTCTATCTAGTGGAGCATGTGGTTGGAGCTGCCTGGATTTGACTTTAACGCAATTTATGCAGTCCCGTACATAATCACGAATGTGTCTTCATAATCCTCGATGGTAATATTTCTCTTATATTCTTCTTAATATTTGGTGAATCCCTGAATGCGTTTGGTCGTGGTAATGTTCGATGACAGTCTTCAAGACAGAAATAGGTAGCGCTAATTTAGGAGTACCGCTAACCATTATATAGACATAGTGATGTTCACCAACGTGGTAATGG